TACTAGGGATGTTCATTTCGGTTATTTTTCCTAACCGACAACCGACGCTCATTAACCAATTATTAACCGTTAACCGACAAGATTATTTTTAATTAGAATTGAATTAAATTAGAAAGGATAAGTGTCTTTGACCCGTTAAAAATACTAACATTTGTTTCCCGGGGATTAATTTACATGTGCAAAAAGCAGCAAACAACACAACATGAGGATTCACATGGTCATCATATCACATCACGCACCTGCAGCGCTTCTGCGAGCGGAGAAAAACATAATAAAGCTAGGTTATTGGCCTATATATATAACGATAAATAGGCCTATATGAGAAATATATAAAAGGCAAACCTTTTACAATTCCGATTATCTTTATGACTAAAAGAAGTAGTTGTTTCCACTGTTAGATGGAAAAAAACTCAAGTGATTGTGCCGGCGCCGCATGCGCACACACAGTTAAGCATTATTTGCCATCTTGAAAATGCAGCTTGTTCATTATCATAATAAAATACAGTCAGTCAAACATATGGGATAAAAACACACTGCTCAGTTTAAATATGTAGTACAATCTGTGCCGTTAAGTGTTATCACCGTACCGCCGTGATGTTATGCAAACCATTTTGTTTTACGTGGATATTGGAACGCGAGTGAAGTACATAATAAATAATAATTTGGCATTCAAACACATCGCGAATACGGAAACATTTGATTTTGTGTCGAATGAGAGACCCAGCGTTGGTTTCAGTTTCATTTTAGCCTAAACGAATTAGTTTTGGCTTGTCGTTTATATTGCTATAGCTTCTTATATTTTAAATTCTTGTTGTTTTCTAAATACTGTTAATTGAAAGGCTTTGTTGTGGAGTGAGGGGAACTAAAATAGCCTAGCTATGTTTACAGTGTTTATTATAATGTTTGTAAACATTTCGCCTCGGCATTAGGACTATTTCTGAATGAAATAATAAAATGCTACTTATACGGGACTTGTTTTTTTTCTGTAAAAAACCCAATTTGTTTTTATACGTGTAGCGTATTTTAACCGTGCAACAAATCTTTTTAAATATTTTGATAAGCTACTGAAAACAAATAAATAAATGACTTTTTAAACCGTTTAACATTGTA